TCAAGTGTACAATAAAATATTAACAACTGTAGTCAACGTGCTGTATATTAGATCCTCAGAACTTATCTTGTAAATGTTAGTGTGTACTCCTACCAACATCTGCCCATCTCCCTCAGTCTTTAGCTTCTTGCATTCTACTTTCTGTTTCTATGAGTTTGACTCATTTCTTTTCTTAATAAATATCCACGTATGTGGGTTTGTACCCTGTATCCATATACAGGGTTTGTGTTTTGCTGTGTGGCTTATTTGACTTAGCATAGTTTTTTTCAGATTCATCTGTTTGTGGCAAGTGGCACTGTTGCCTTCATTTTTATGGCTGAATATTACTGCACATGTGTGTACTAAATGTTGTCACTTTATTTATTTATTTCTCTATTTAGATACAATTTATTTTTTATTCTTATATATATATATATATATATAGACTCCATACCCAGTGTGGAGCTTGAACTCACCACCCTGAGATCAAGAGTTGCATGCTGTATGGACTGAGTTGGCCAGGCGCCCCGTATTTGTCATTATTAACATTCACACACACTTACTGATGTTTCCATATATTGGCTATGTGAACAATACTGCAGTGAATATTCATGTTCAGATACGTTGTGGAGATACTGATTTTGTTTCCTTGGGATAGAAACCTAGAAATGGCAGTGGTGGACTATATGGTAGTTGTATTTTCAATTTTTGGTGGGTCTCCCTAATATTTTCCATGATGACTTCCCTATTTACGTTCCCAGCAGCAGTATTCAAATATTATTTTTTCTGCACATCATGAACAACCTGTTACTTCTTGTCGTTTTGGTAATAGCCATTGTAACAGGTAGGAGGTGATATTTTGTGGTGTGGTTTTCATTTCCCTGATGATTTGTGATTGTGAGCACGTGTTAGTCACTTGTACATCTTTTTCACACTCTTGTGTGTTTCATTGGCTCTGGTGCAACATTTTTTTTTTTAAGAGTTTATTTATTTGATAGAGACACAGCGAGAGAGAGAACACAAGCAGGGGGAGTGGGAGAGGGAGAAGCAGGCTTCCCGCTGAGCAGGGAGCCCGATGCGGGGCTCGATCCCAGGACCCTGGGATCATGACCTGAGCCGAAGGCAGACGCTTAACGACTGAGCCACCCAGGTGCCCCTGGTGCAACTTTTCAATTTGATATAGTGGTATTTGTTAGTTTTTGCTTTTGTTGTGTATGCTTTAGATGTCCTGTTCAAAAAACCATTGGCAGGAATAAGGTTAAGGAGGCTTTTCCCTATGTTTTTTTCTAGGAATTTTAGGGTTTGAGATCATATGTCTAAGTCTTTAATCAATTTGAAGTTCATTCCTTGAGTGCTTTAAGATGGGGATCCAGGATCCTTGTTTTCGTATTTGGATATTCACATTTCACAGCAGAATGAAAGAGGTTATTTTTTCGCCAGTGTTGATTCTTGGCCTCATTGTCAAACATTAATTGTCTGTATACATGTTGCTTTACTTTTGGGTTCTTTATTCCGTTCCACTGGTCTGTTTTTATGCCAGTACCCTACTGTTTTGAAAACAATAGCTTTGTAATATAGTTTGAAATCACAAGTGTGCTGCCTTCAGCTTGATCTTCTTTCTCAAATTGCTTTGGCTTCAGACATTGGTTAACTTGGTGGCAAAAGATGCCAGTGTCCTATGTGGAGCAGGAAGCTGGAGGCTCTGCTGAGAAGGGACTGCAGTCACACCCACCCTGTGGCTGATGGAGGTAGCCCCAGGCCTTATTTCCCACCCATCTCACATGTCTCTGCTAGTACAGTCTCCAACCAACTTTTTTGTGTGCTTGTGCCCTCTTTTATGGTCTACTGTGTTCTAGTCAGTGTTATTGGGCTCTTCAGCACTTCCAGGCTAATACCACTCATGGACAGCTGTAGAATTGATTTTTTGTTGGGGTGAGGGATGATTTCTGCTTTTCCACCATCCTGCTGACATCAGTCACATAAGATATTTTTCTTTGTTGTGTCCTGAGTAGCTCTAGGACAGTGCTGGTGGTCCACTTTGCTTGTTTCATACAGTATTGGTATCTTCCTGATACCCTGCAGTTGCTCAGGAGGGCTTACAGGGAAGAGTCCTTTGTGTATCATAGCATGGACATGCTCCAGAAATGACCGTGTGAGCTCATAGGGAGCCTGTTTCTGGTGGATGGCAGCTGCGAAAGGTGTGATATCAGCACTGTGTTCAGATCACACTGGGCACCTTTGTTTTTTCAACCTAAGTTTGGTGCCATTGCAGATGACCACACCCCATCTCTGTCTTTCCTTCTTTACTGTTGACAGTTTGTGGACTTCTGAATGCTACTCTTTGGTACTTCCATGACGTCGAGTACAGGGGTAATTAATAGGTCTCGGGCCTCCACGCCTCACCCATATCTCTCACTGCTAATTCTGCGTAGTCCAGCATTCACCCCTGAAATTTTTACCATGACATATTGAAATGCCCTTAAACTGACCTTGAACAAAAGCAAATTTCTTGGGATTGGATATTCCTGCAGCCTCTACTCAGCCAAATATCACCAACAGAAATGGTCCTACACAGACCTTTGGGCAAAAAACAAGTTGTAGACCCTGGCTGTCTTCTTTGTGTCATACCCTAGTTTTTTGTCCTTCTGGTGTGCTCTCCATAATACTTTGACCACTCGGGCCCAGTAATGCATGACGGCCACTCCTTCAGTTGAATTTCATCTCCTGTGTGTGGAAAAGCATGCTATACGGTCCTGCCTAGATGAGTCAGGTGCATGTATGTGACGGGCCCACCCCCTCGTTATAGTCAACACAGATTTCACCAGCACTTCTTTGCCTTCAGGTTGTTGCTGTGGAGCAGAGGATGAGGAGGCACCCTTTGCCCAGAGCACTTCTGTAGGCGTATCACAGACCAGGACGCCCAAGGCAGCTCAGTCTTCCCGGAAGACCCACCCCTGTGAGATGTGTGGTCCAGTCTTGAGAGACATTTTCTACTTGGCTGCGCACCAGGGAAAAGAAAACAGCCAGAAACTGTTGAGGTGTGGGGCCTGTGGGAAACGATTTTATTTCATTACTGACTTCAGAAAACATGAGAAACAGCACATGGGAGAGAAATCCTTCAGAAGCCGTGTGGACAGGGCCTCTGTTGTGAAGAACTGGGGATTCCATGGTTCAGGAAAGCCCCTTACCTGTGAAGAAGTTCAGAAGGACTTCCTGTCTGGCTCGGGGCATCTGCAGCAAGAGGCCACTCATACTGGGGAGAAGCCACACACGATCACCCAGTGCAGGGCAACTTTACAAAGCAGAAAAAGTCATGACACCTGGGGAGAATGCAAGAACGCCTTTGGTCCCAAACACACACATAGTCAGGACCAGGGTGTCCACCTTGGAAGACAGTCCTTTGTGTGCAGTGAATGCGGGAAAGCATTCAGGTACAAATCCTTATTTGCCATACACCAGAGATCCCATACTGGAGAAAGATATCATGAGTTTGGTAAATGGCAAACACCAGCCCTGAATGAACATGGAAAGACTCACAGCGCATCCAGACAGTACACGTGCAGCAAATGTGGGAAATCCTTAGGCCACAAATCTGTCCTCATTCATCCCCAGAGATGGCACAGTGGAGTGAAGAGTTACGTTTGCAGTGGATGTGCAAAAGCTGTTAGCTGTAGCTCAGTGTTGATTACTCATAGGATTCAACCTGGAGAAAGGTTTTATAAGTGTCGTGGCTGTGCAAAATCTTTTCCCTCTATGTCTGCCCTCTCATATCATCAGAGATCTCATGCAGGAAAAAGACGGTACGAGTGCAGTGATTGTGGGAAATCTTTTACCAGCAGTTCTGTCCTCCATTATCACCAGAGAGTTCATAGTGGAGAAAGGCCTTATCAGTGCAGTAAATGTGGCAAGTCCTTTCTCCGAAGAAATAGCCTCAATGTACATATAAAGGTTCACTCAGGTGAAAGGCCTTATAAATGTAACGCATGTGGGAAATCTTTAAAGTGTAAGTCAGCATTCATTAAACACCAGCGCGTTCACACAGGAGAAAGGCCTTATGAGTGCAGCGAATGTGGCAGGTCTTTTCTCCGAAGAAATACTCTGAATGTACACATAAAGGTTCACTCAGGTGAAAGACCTTATAAATGTAACGAATGTGGTAAGTCATTTAAGTTTAAGTCAACATTCATTAAACACCAGAGAATTCACACAGGGGAGAGGCCTTATGAGTGTAGTGAATGTGGGAAATCTTTTATCTCTAGGACTGACCTACGGTATCATCAGAGAATTCACACAGGAGAGAGACCTTATCAGTGCAGCGAATGTGGCAAGTCCTTTGTCCGAAGAAATATCCTCAAGGTACACAGAAAGGTTCACTCAGGTGAAAGGCCTTATAAATGTAATGAATGTGGGAAATCTTTGAAGTGTAAGTCATCGTTGATTAAACACCAGAGAATTCACACAGGAGAAAGGCCTTATGAGTGCAGTGAATGCGGGAAGTCTTTTATCACTAGTTCCGTGCTTCATTCTCACCAGAGAGTTCACACTGGAGAAAGGCCTTATGAATGCAGTGAATGTGGGAAATCTTTTACCACTAGTTCTGTCCTCCGTGATCATCAGAGACTTCATACTGGAGAAAGGCCTTATGAATGCAGTGAATGTGACAAAACTTTTACTACAAGTTCTGCCCTCCATTATCACCACAGAGTTCACACTGGAGAGAGACCTTATGCATGCAGTGAATGTGGCAAGTCCTTTGTCCGAAGAAATAGCCTGAGTGTGCACCTGAAAGTTCACTCAGGTGAAAAGCCTTATAAATGTAATGTATGTGGGAAATCATTGAAGTGTAAGTCAACATTCATTCAACACCAGAGAATTCACACAGGAGAAAGGCCTTATGAGTGCAGTGAATGTGGGAAATCTTTTTCCGCTACCTCTGTCCTTCGTTCTCACCAGAGAGTACACACGGGAGAAAGACCTTATGAATGCAGTGAATGTGGAAAATCTTTTACGTCTAGTTCTGCCCTCCGTTCTCACCAAAGAGTGCACACCGGAGAAAGGCCTTATGAGTGCAGTGACTGTGGCAAGTTCTTTCTCCACAGAAATAGCCTCAATGTACACATCAAGGTTCACTCAGGTGAAAGACCCTATAAATGTAATGAATGTGGGAAATCTTTGAACTATAAGTCAACATTCATTCAACACCAGAGAATTCACACAGGAGAAAAGCCTTATCTGTGCAGTGAATGTGGGAAGTCTTTTAGTCATAGCTGTGCCCTCCGGTACCATCGTCAGAGTCACCTTGGAATAAGTCCTTATGATTGTAGTGAATGTGGGAAATCTTTTACCACTAGTTCTGTCCTCCGTGATCACCAGAGACTTCACACTGGAGAAAGGCCTTATGAGTGCAGTCAGTGTGGGAAATCTTTCACCACTCGTTCTGTCCTCCGTTCTCATCAGAGAGTTCACTCTCGGGAAAGGCCTTATGAGTGCAGTGAATGTGGCAAGTCCTTTGTCAGAAGAAATAGCCTCAATGTACATGTAAAGGTTCATTCAGGTGAAAAGCCTTATAAGTGTCATGAATGTGGGAAATCTTGGAAGTGTAAGTCGACGTTCATAAAACACCAGAGAATTCATACAGGAGAAAGGTCTTTTGCTTGCAGTGAATGTGGGAAATCTTTTTTCAGTCATGATGCTCTCAGTTATCATCACAGAGTTCACAGTGGCAACAGGCCTTAGGGGTGCTGCTGTTGTAGGGAATCTTTCAGCTGTATCTTCAGTCTCCTTCAACAGGAGGAAATACAATTAATAGAGTCCTTATGGGCAGTATTACGAACTGAATGTTTATGTTCACTAAAATTGATATGTTCAATCCCTATCCTCTAATTCAATAGGATTAGCATGTGATGTCTTGGGAGATAATTCAAAGATATAGTTTCATAAAAATCTGAATTAAGGGGCGCCTGGGTGGCTCAGTTGGTTAAGCAACTGCCTTCGGCTCAGGTCATGATCCCAGGGTCCTGGGATCGAGTCCCACATCGGGCTCCCGGCTCAGCGGGGAGCCTGCTTCTCCCTCTGACCCTCTC